GTATGACTGGGTCTATGATACTGTTAATTTATTTTAGGCAAGTAAATAAATAATGAGGGACACTGGTCAGTATTTCTTTCACATCCTTTTTTATATTGTCGGTGTAATAGGGAGGAGAAGGAACATATACTGAAACAAAGAGAAAAAGATTAAAAAAACATTTGAAATTGTTAAACAAAAAAAAACAAATACATTGTAGAGTTGTGGGCCTTGACCGGAACTCTCCTTTATTCTTAACAAACAAGAAAATTATAAAGTAATAAAAATTAAAAAAAAAAAATCTTTGAGTGATAATGGTATGAAAAACTTAATATAATGCTTGCCATACCATTAATGGAGAAATACCAGCACAAGAAAAGCACAACAACACAATAACAATCAGAAGATGAACCACAGCTCAAACAAAGCAAGCAACTCGGGCTGAGATATGACATCTCCATAGTTCAGACTGAAAATGCTACATGGGGGAAGCCATGGAACTGCCACTAACCCAGAATATTTGGAAAGAAACAAAAATGAAGTTGGGTTGCAGAATTTGGCCTTTGCCATGAAAATTTCAGTTCTTGGCACAACTGAGACATTTTGAACAAAAAGAACAGACATTTTGACTGAACTCTTGCCCAACATGATTCTCTTCCACTGTTTTTATATATATATATATATATATATATATATATATATATATATATATATAAGCCCTTTTTTTTTTAATCACATTTAGAGAAGAGGATCAATGAGCATTTTATTGTTTGGGATAATAAATTAAAATTTTAAAGACAAAAAAAAAAAAATAAAAAAAATAAAAAGAAAGAAAAGTTAGATTTTTCACATTTAAAAATTAAGAAAAGTTTACCAAAAGTATATTAGAATGAAATGTGAAAATATTTTTGTATTTAAAACCCAAACAAAAAAAAAAAAGCCAAATTTAACAATTTCAAAAGATACCCCCAAATCTATTTCTCATTGTTTAGTTATAAATATTTCAGTCATGAAGATTTGAATGATTTTGTAAAAAAAAAAAAAAAAAAGTTCTATAAAAAATAAAGTAAAGAAAGAAAATTAAATAAGTAAAAATAAAAATTTAAAGAAAACATGAAAAAAGAAAAGTGAATGAAAAAAAAATTAAAAAGTGAGCAACAGAATTGTAAGAGAAATTAAATAAATATATGACTTGTTTGTGTATGTAAAAGTATTTTGTTTTAAAAAAAAAAAAAAAAATCATGAAATTGCATAACCATTTTTTTACCCTTAAATATGAAATAAAAATCAATAATATTTTAGTCCATGGGCAAACATCAGAGTTGTATTTCCAGTGGTTATTTTCATCAAGTCATGACAAGGCACCTTGGAAGTGGATTTGCTGGATCCTAGGATTTTTTTTCTGTTTCTTGTATTGATTGAAATCTTGGGTCAGGATTACACAATGGTCAACATGGCAGTGTTTCTTGTTTTTTTTATCCAACAAGCACTCTTGATTCTACATTTGTTTATCAATAAACCTGACACATAGAAAAAAAAAAAACTCATACCCAAGGAATGATTAAACTCTTAGATTTTTTTCATTTTCTTTTGAAAAAAAGGAAGAACTTATTTTCACATTAAAATATTCAAGTGGGTGATTTTTACAGAACTCTTAACATTTTTTTCATTTCATTTGTACAAATATTTTGTAAAAAGTTATTTTTAATCAGATAAAATGAAACAATTTATCAAAAAAAGAAATTACACTTTCTAGCTCTGCTAGAAAAAAAATGAACAAAGAAAACATTTGAAAAGCTGTAAATTCATTTTGTTTTGAAAAACAAAAATTAGAATAATCACAAAACCATGAATTGTGTTCAACCTTGTTTAAGCTTTCGGTATTTTTTTTTTTTTAAATATAAAATTTTTATATGTTAAATATAGAATTTTGGGCATGATATTTTCAGTTATTTCAGTTTGATAATTAAAATATAAAGCTATCATACCCACACAATTGTTTTTTTTTTTTTCCTTTTAGGTTTTAAATAGGATGATTTTTTTTTTTTAATTAAAAAGATGATGTTGAATAGTTTCTGCAACCAACTCATGAAAAGAAATTTCCTCAGCATGAGAGATTCAAGGGAGAGAATCAGGTAAAACAAAAGAGTCTTATTACTTCACATGAAGCCTTTTCAACAGAATGAAGGAAAAAATAATAACTTGGTTTTAGTAAATGCCTTTCAACAGAACAAAATGAAAATTTAATGAGAACACAAATGGAAAAGAGAAGAAAATATCTTCTTTTTACTTGTATTCTGCAAACATGGCCTGTAAAATATATGTATCTATAGATTACAGATAATTTCTTGGAAACATAAGTCTGGTTAATTACTATATATATATATATATATATATATATATATATATATATATATATATATATATATATATATAACTAAATATGTGTCTGCATGTGTTGACAACTGACGAGTAGTCTGTTGCCTATATATATATATATATGCCCCTTGACGAGTGGACAGTATGATTCCCGGAGGGTCAGTTTGCGAAACTCTGGAGTCGGGATGCTGAAGGTAACGTCAATCAACTATGTGATGAACCTTTTACTTATATCCACAGACAAAAAAATGTTTGCATATATTTAGTAGTTTAAAGTCAATTTATAATTCTGGAGATGTTTAGCCATTATCAGACCAAGAAATAGTTAATGAGTACAGGAAAATTAACCATTACAAATATTACAATTACTAATGGAATAAATACATAAATATTGCTAAGTCACTTCCTAGATTTAGGGGGCATCCCAGGAGAGGATACCCTTCCTGGATTCAGGGGCATCCCAGGAATGGGGAGATATCAAAATCATAGATTGTAACTAGACAATAAAAAACAACTATTTTGAGTCAAGTGCTCTTATTATATATTCATACAAATGTATATAAAAAAACACTGATGTTACTTATCTTGTTTAAAAAAAAGGATTTTCATGTGACTCGATTTTAAGAAATATGTCATAGGACATCACAGACTCATAAAAAAAAAAAATCAATGAAGATTCATAAGGATTCTCTCCAGATTTGCTATATAAATGAATATAATTTCAGATATGTGTTTTTAGTTTCTATAGTTTTGTTTTTCATCTTGGATATGGATCAGATTTGCTGACAATATTTAATTTAAATCTTTTCCATTAAACCATCATAACTAAAATATTTTAAATAAAATCATATCACAATATTCTTTTTTGGTAAGAGGTTAGTGACAAGACAGGGGACTAATACTGGATTTTACAAAAAAAATTTAAGGATTTACTTGATTCAAAACCCAAACAGTACCAACCAAAAAAGAAAAAAAAGTCAGTGTCAAAACTATAAATAAAGTTTTAAAAAATAAAAAAGCTTATAAATTAAAATTTTAGAATGTAAAAAAAAAAAAAAGAACATTTCAAATCAGAACATTTTACTAAATGTTGTGTTGACTGACTGAAAAGAGTATCCTTGTCTTGGTTGTTATAGTCACACCATTGGGCACCTCGAGGCGGTGTAATGGTTAGCAAGCTTGTCTCGCTAGAACAATTACTACTGAGTAGTTCGATCCTCACTGGGTGCCCCCTCCATTCGGCCTTGTGCCATATCTAAGCTACGCTTGGAAAATCACTATAGTCACACCATTTCAGTCATAATACCTTTTGGCTTCATTCCAGTGTCTTTCTGAGATGGTAACCTGTGAATTTTGAACCAAACATTTATTCAACACAAAGGGGTAGATTCTGATTTAACTGTCCATGTTAGAGGGCATAAGGTAGCATTTAATTCTTTCTAGCTAATTTATATTTGTGACAGATGGTAACAACCAAGATGATGATACTCATCCCAGCAAATCAGTGGATAAATGATAATTGCTCACCCAAAAAATTATTACCAAAAGAAAGTTTGGATTGTATCTTTGCAATAATAATTTTGTGGAATTTTTTATCTTTCATGATACAAAAATGTATTTTTTTATTTTTTTTATTAAATATGGACAAAAAATAGAGTAACAGGAAGAAAAATATTTTTCACCTGTCAAAGTCCTGTTTTAATGTGAACACTGTACTTTATTCTTTACACTTTAAATATGAAAAAAAAAAAGTTTTATGGTCTCCAGTGAGTCTTCACCATGGCAACTGGCAAGACCTTTCTATCAAAAGTAAAATTTTAGGACAAATTCCATAGAGACTGTTGTATAAATTATAAATATATGTAACTGGGGAATGAATTCGAATTGTTATTTCTTCCGGCCATAAGAGAGACATTGTTATATAAATATATGTAGTTGGTGAATGAGGGTTATTCCCCTTGAATTGTTACTTTTTCAGATAAAACAGACACTTTGTTGATTATCAAACCTAGTAACATGTATACATATTTTTGAATTGAATAAATCTTGTACTAGATTTTTGCTTACAAGATAGACAACCAGAAAAATAGGTCAACTTAAAACTCAAATAATGTATATAACAGTTTTACAAAAAAATTTACAAGTTACTCATGATCAGAAAAAAGTACTTATAAATTAAACGGTATAAGAATATCAAATTATTTTACTGTTTACTGAATTCAAACAATTTTCTTGGGAAAATCTCAACGAGATATAAACAAAAAATATTAAAAACTGAAAATTATCTTTTTTTTTTTTTAAATTTTTCTTCAATTCTTTATAGACTAAAACAACAATTCTTTTTCTTTTCTTCTGTTTTTAATTTTGTTTTGTATTAAACTTAAAGATCAGGAAAACTGTTTGGGGTTTGTTTGTTTTTTTATGAAAAAAAAAATATTTAAAAAATTGATATAAAGAAACAAAAACAAGTCATAACAATCACCCAAGAAAAACAAAGAAAAAACAAAAGGATCAACCATTTATACAACCATTCACTACTACTGCAATTTTTCACTTTCATTTGGCAGTCAAAGGACTGAATTGTGATTGTGGCTTATGAGACTTGATTCCTGGTGTGTGCAACTTGAAAAATACGAATTGTTTTATTTACTGTGGTTTAATTTAGGAATATCATTTTTGACATCACGTTTAATATAAAACTTCCAAAATGTCCATAAAAGAAGAAAGAGCAAACCCAAGAGCCAAACGCAAGCCACCGTGTGGGGGATAGGTTTGCTAAATGTGTCCCAGTCAAAACGAATGGTGATTAGAAATTCAGTTATGATGATAGCAGCAATCAGCCAGGATTGACGGCCAAACTTTTTGCACATCCTAAAAAATATAGAAAGATAAAGAGAGAAGCAGTTTATAAGATATGAAGCCATTGGTAGTTTATGTCACCTATGCTTCAAATTAGTGGAGGTTACTACTATTATGAGGGTGGGGGTTTTGGTTGTAGTAGTAAAAGGGTAACAAGGTACTGTAACTAAGTAACTTTATCTGACTTCAAATTGTAGCAGAGGAATCTTCTGGATTAATGTTGAAAATGAATTGCAAAGAAAATAGAAAACCCAACAGTTGCAACTTTATTCCTTTGTATGTAATTATGTTGGAGTTAGCTCCTCCTTAATTCCCAAATTGTAACTAGGGGTCATTCTCCCTATACTATAAATGCTGGGTGACTTCTTGACTCGTTCTTTTTCCTTCAAGCATTGTGCCACATCCCACCTCACGTGGAGGTGAGGTAAATCCTATTTTTCATTTCAGTGACTACAATGTAAGCTCTCTTAGAAGATCCGCGTCTTCCCATTTGTGGGAGATGCCATGAACATTATACACACATACACGTACGTGCGAACATTCACCAAATAACAGACACCAACGTTTACATACACACACAAATGTTATTGTCCATTGAAAAATTGTTTTGTTTAATACATATATTTGTTATATATATATATATATATATATATATATATATATATATATATCAGTCTTGTTTGTCTTCTTTACACCTTCAGTTGGACTTAATTCAAGTCCAGCCATTTTCTTGTAGTTGGAACTTTCTAGCAGGAAATAAACACATGTGTTTTCTAATTCAACAACACTCAAACACACACAGTCCACTACAATTATATGTTGGTAATAAATTTACAGATGTGTACTGTTTGGTGTCTGTTAAATCGTGATATGTGACACTTTACGTAAATGTTTTTAGTATTATGATTATTTGTTTGTATTATGCATGTTTTTTTTTAAACTTATTTGAATGTATCAGTCCTGAATTCTTTGAGGATTAAACTGCACAAATGGTAATGAAATTTGGAGACTATTTTTACTTGATTTTATAGTAATCAAATTTTCACGTTTGTTGTATTAAGAATCAGATGCTCTACTACCTTTTCTAGTGGACAAGGGAACAATACGTCTTTTATCATACAGATTTTGGCAGTAAAAAAAAAGGGGAAGATTTTCTATTTTTAGCTGTGATGAAATATAACTTAGACACCATGACAAATAAAAGGTGAAGTGAACTCTTATACAGTGACAATTTCAAATTGGTAAAGACCCTTAGGAAAAAAAACAACAATAATAATATGGCCAGCTACTTGTTTCTGAGAATACAAATCTACTAGGGTGGTTAACTACTTACTGTTGCAGATGCCTGAAATTATGGGGTCCCCATCAGATGGAGCCACCCTCTAACTCATCCATACCAGTCTTTAATATTTTTTACTTGTGATATCTTCTAGCGACATTTACATAGTTTGAAGTAAACTTATTGCAAATTCTTTAAATAAATTAGAATAGCTATCATTTGTTTGTCAATAAAAACATTCTTTAAGAAATATCACTATTTTGCTATTTATTGCAAACCAAATTAGCACATGTTTCAACAGAACTTTAGTAAAAAAAAAAAAAACAGATTTTTATAATCAAGCTGGAGGGGCCTAGGCTGCAGCCTATAGGATAATCTAGTCCTGGCTGAAACATTGTGATAATCTCCAAAATGACAATGTCAATAAAGATAACTCCTGATCACAGAAATTGAGATAAAAATTAAGACAGAAAGTTATTTAATCCCAATATATGTTTGGATTAATTCCTTAATCAGGAACATTTAATCAATTTCAATTTTAGATTTTTACCTTTCAAATGTACATTAAGAAATAATCTAAACTGAAATTCTGTTCATCCTGTCATATTTATTAAGTCCAACATGATTCCAATGGGTACTGAATTTGCCTCAGAAAGAAAGAAATATTATTAAGTATAATATAGAAGTTTTGGTGTTCTCTATCAATTGTCCTCAATGTTTGCTTGCTTTTTTTCTCCTACACCCATTTCATCATATGTCTGAATATCATTCCCATTTTAAGATCATTCTAAATTTTAGAATTGTTTGTAGAAAGAAAATATAATGATATCATCTAGTTGTTAACATTTCGCACCACCAAAAACAAAAAAAACATAGAAAAGAAATTCCTATCAATAATGCGTTAAAATACCTCAATATACGAATGAATGATAATGTGTTAAATACCTCAATATACGAATGAATGATAATGTGTTAAATACCTCAATATACGAATGAATGATAATGTGTTAAATACCTCAATATACGAATGAATGATAATGTGTTAAATACCTCAATATACGAATGAATGATAATGTGTTAAATACCTCAATATACGAATGAATGATAATGTGTTAAATACCTCAATATATGAATGATTTACAACAAATTTAATATAAGGAAGTTGAATAAAAAAGTTTGTCTTAGATGTACTTTTACAAAACCAAAATATTGACACAAAAATAAAAGTCATATTCTAAAATAGCCTCATCAGACATTCATATGAATGCCATGCATGGGGTCCTACTCATTCAACAATGTCTAAACTATCAGCTCTATACAACTGTTGTCTCAGATCAAGGATTAAAAATATCTTCAGAAATGTCCTTCTAAAAAGCCTTGTCAGATCTAGACTTTCATATGAATGCCATGCATGGGGTCCTACTCATTCAACAATGTCTAAACTATCAGCTCTATACAACTGTAGTCTCAGATCAAGGATTAAAAATATCTTCAGAAATGTCCTTCTAAAAAGCGTTGTCAGATCTAGACTTTCATATGAATGCCATGCATGGGGTCCTACTCATTCAACAATGTCTAAAACTATCAGCTCTATACAACTGTTGTCTCAGATCAAGGATTAAAAATATCTTCAGAAATGTCCTTCTAAAAAGCGTTGTCAGATCTAGACTTTCATATGAATGCCATGCATGGGGTCTTACTGGTTCAACAATGTCTAAACTATCAGTTCTATACAACTGTAGTCTCAGATCAAGGATTAAAAATATCTTCAGAAATGTCCTTCTAAAAAGCCTTGTCAGATCTAGACTTTCATATGAATGCCATGCATGGGGTCCTACTCATTCAACAATGTCTAAACTATCAGCTCTATACAACTGTTGTCTCAGATCAAGGATTAAAAAATATCTTCAGAAATGTCCTTCTAAAAAGCCTTGTCAGATCTAGACTTTCATATGAATGCCATGCATGGGGTCCTACTCATTCAACAATGTCTAAACTATCAGCTCTATACAACTGTTGTCTCAGATCAAGGATTAAAAATATCTTCAGAAATGTCCTTCTAAAAAGCCTTGTCAGATCTAGACTTTCATATGAATGCCATGCATGGGGTCCAACTGGTTCAACAATGTCTAAACTATCAGCTCTATACAACTCTTGTCTCAGATCAAGGATTAAAAGTGGCTTTAAACAAATGAATCCTATAAATCTTATCCTTCATTATACCCTATTAGACACAGAATATGTTGTACCAGAGGTAGTTTCCCCCAACACCACAAATTACTCCAAAGTATCAACCTGAAAACTCAAGTCTTGTATGTCAGAATGATACTTTTATTTTGATATCATGCATGACACCAAACCAATTCAGAAATATCTAAACTTAAAGCCATTTTTAAGCACTGATCTTAGAAAGCATTTGTATGGTTAAAATAGCTTTGAGCAAGTGAAGCCTGAGGTTCTTGATAAAGAATATCATTCTTTGAAGATTATGGCCTGGCACAACAGAATCACAAAGAAATGTACCATATAACAGAAACCACATCACTTAAAGACTACCAACAGCAGGAACATTTAAAATGGATAACACATAACTTGGAGAAAATCAAAATGTTGACATTCCACACTACTTCAAACAGAAGGTTAGGAAGGAAACTCATCAATACTGGAAAGAGTGATAACAGTTAATGAACTTGAGAAACCTATTTTCCTGAAAAAAGAGAAAGATTTCATAAATTTCAACTAAAAGTAATACTGGCTGATCAGCCAATGAATGCCGAATGTTTCCTTGCAGGGAAATGGCTAACATTACCATTACCATAGACTGGCACTACACAATTCCAAAGAGCTTTAGTAAATAACAAACCCCATATCATTTGAAGACTTCCAAAAGCAACAACAATAAAAATGGGTAGCATATGTAATTAGAAGAAAAATTAATGATATAATCAAGCTGTTAACTTTCCACACTATCAAAAACGAAAGGTTTAGAAGGAAACTCCTATATCCTCACCAATATTAGATTAGAAAGATTTGTAACATTTAGTGGACTTGAGAAATCTAATTTCCTGAAAAACTTTAAGAAAAAGATTTTATAAATTTCAACTGCCAATAACACTAACTGATCAATCAGTGAATTCCAAATATTACCATTTTTTACAATTTACTAGAAAAATCAATATTCTACGAGTTTGAGTCTGACAATTTGTAATCTCAATTTTCTTGCTGAAATTTTAAAATTGCTGCTTAGGGTGGAGCTCTACTTAATGCAACAGGGTGGTTTATCTTTTTTTGCCAACAGTGAATAATACAAGTGTTTTTTTTTTTTTGCAAATGGGGATTTAAGAAGAATGAAAGGATGGCAAGGGAAGAAAGAAAAAAGAAAAAAAAAAAAAGAAGAGTATGCATGGATTAGCTTACGGATCATCCAGATACTGAAACACTTCCCTCATGGCTGCAGCACCCATGAAGAGAAACATTACAAGTCGACCCAGACAGAGATAATGT